CTGACTCAGGAGGTTCTGATGGACCTGGACAGATCGGACCTGGTGGACAAGCTTCCTCTGGACGCTTCCAGCTCTAAAGGTAAAGTCGTTTACAGAACAGCACTGGATTTCTTTACAACAACATATTTTGAAAATAGACTCTTTGTCTTGTTTTGTGTTTTTATTGCAAAATTAGAGAGAAATTCTGCAGTTTTAATTTAACTCTAAACTGAAAAACTGACCCTGGACTCCAGATCTGCCCAAAGGTTGAGTTTAAATCTGCAGTAATTTTGCACCAATATTCAAATGTACAGTTGGATCATTTTATTATTTTTTTTAACTCATTATTAGCCAAATAAATATTTAACTTGCTTGCTAAATATTTTCCTCCAAATTAAATATTTATTTTGATAAATAAGTTAAGTAAATGTTTATATTCAAACTATGCTTTTAATATTCAAATGTTTATTTTACAAACTAAATATTTAGTTCATACTTTAATAGTTGGCTAACTAATAAATATTTAACAAGTCAGGTAAATATTTAGTTGCATATTAAATATTTATTTTGGAGCAATTTAATAATCCTAACTCAGTAGTTTCTACAGAAGTCTTTATTTTTGCAATGTTTTTAGTTTCAAAAGCTCAACTTATTGAGCTCCAGCATATTGAATTTAAAAACAGAAGTTATATCTTTCATTTCCTCTACAATCTAAATATAAACTTTTAGGCTACAAATGTTTAAATTTGAGGCCTAAATGCCTGGATCTGTGATCTGCAGGGAAACTTTCATTGATGGATTTTTGGCCTGAACTGAAGCAGAAAGTGAGTCTAACCTGATCTGACTGGCTGTCAGCCTGTTGTGGTTCCATCTCTTCCTGATCTGAGGCCTGAAATGTTTCATCAGGTAAAACAGATGGAGTCTGTCATAAAGATGCTGCTGGAAGAGTTTGATGATCTGACCTGCAGGATGTAAAAGATATCAGAAACACCCTGAGCTGGGATTTGGATGACTGTCCTTATTTAAGCATCTATTGGAGGCTGCTGGCCATGAATGCAGACCTGCAGGAACCGTGCTGCTGCTGGTGCAGACGTTCAGCCAGCGTCCGGTGGACAAGATGCAGGAGCTGCTGTCCAGAATGCGGAGGCCCGATCTGGAGTTCGCTCTGATCAAATCCACAGAAAGTGAGACAATAAAGTACAATAATAACACTCCATCACGTTACAGTCGAGATTTAATGACATTAATGTTTTTCCTCTTCATCCGTTAGAGAAATCTGTTGTGGGAAAATGGAAATCCGCTCCGATCCAGAAGGTGAGAAACAATCCAGATCAGAGATCCAAATTTATCATTTAATTCACAAGATAAATGTTCATTTTGAAATGTTTTATTTGAAAGCTAAATATTTAGTTTACTAAAGAAATTTAGCTCCAAAATAAATATTTTATACAACTAAATATTTTATTAGTTAGCTAACTATTTAAGTATGAACTAAACATTTAGTTTGTAAAATAAACATTTGAAAATAAAATGCTTAGTTTTGAATATAAACATTTACTTAACTTATTTAACAAAATATTAAATTTGTAGGTAAATATTTAGCATGCAAGTTGAATATTTGTTTGGCTAATAATTAACTTCAAATTAAACATCTACTTGGGAACCAAATATAATAGTTAAACTAATTATTTAGCTTCCTTTCTAAGTATTTAATTCACAAACTAAGCATACAGCTGGTGTTTAGTTGGTAGATTAAATGCTTAATGTGTTGCACTTATGGAAGGTTTCCATGTCATCTTGTGTTTTTCCTGCTACCCATTTTCAACCTGCTATTTTACTGAACGATATCTGACAGTTTATTGCTTTTAGTTATTCATTGTTTTATCCACTATTGGACAGGTTATTTTTATATTTCTCATTCTGATCTGCTGATATTGAAGTTAAACCTGAAATGAGTCCGGTTGTTGTTTTACAGTGTAACATGGCAGAACCTGCTGGACCTCCTGCTGTTCTGCCTTTTCTTGACATTTTACTTCAGGGGACAAACTACAGGTTGTCCTGTGATTTTCCTTAAATTAGTTTTATCATTTCAGTGATTCTTGAGGACAGGGACAAAGCAGGTCCTTTGGACAAAGAACAAAATTTGAATAAAATATTCAGAAAAGTAATTTATTCAAATATGGGACTAAACTAACCTGCATGTTTTCCTGGTGGTTGATGAATGTTTTTTATTTTAAACATTGCAGCAGGTGGACGGTGCCTTTAAAATCTCTTGTCCTGGAGCAAAACTCAATACATTCTAATAGCATAAAACAAATAAATGAATAGTAAGATAAAATATCATGACAACTAAGTATAAATATTCAATAAATGATTATAAAATATCCATAAATAAACAATTAAAAATCATTTTCATATATTTTTGAACTCCATTGAAATGTGTCCCAAGTTTTTGTCAACACCATCAGACATGAATAGAATGTAAAAAACCATCAGGCATTATTGGGGGCATCAGAACTGAGGACCCCATGACCTCTTCCTGTCTCCTTTGGACTCAGCAGCTCCAGTTACTTTATGTTATTCTTTAGTTTTTTCTTCTGGTTTATTCCTAAGTTGTTGTGTCAACATTTTAACAAACAATTAACTTTTAGTGTTGATTCTAAAACTTCATGTTGAAATAAACGATGATGCATAAAAAATACACTGAAAGGATCTCAGCTGGGAAAAGCAATGACATTAATATTAATACATTCAGTCATTAGTTTCTGTGAAAAAGCATTGATTTATTAGTGCATAGTTACCAGGTGGCTCAGGTTCTGCTGGACCGGACTGGGCCTGATATCATCCTGAACGTTCCAGGTGGCAACGATGGCGGCTGTGAAGAATCTCCTCCTGGAAACCGTCGACCGGCTGAACCCGAACGAGTTCCAGGAGTTTAAACGCTTCCTGCAGCCGACGGCCGGCCCAGACCAGTTCCCTCACACCAGAACCTGGAGTCCGGCAGAGATCCAGAACAGAACCGACCTGGTGAGGGTGATGGTGGAGGAGGAGGGAGCCGGGTCGGTGGAGAGAACCAGGAGCATCTTCAGGGACATGAACAGAACCGATCTGCTGCAGATGCTGCCAAGGAGCCGAGCCGGGATGAAAGGTGACCGACGCCGGGTTCTTCTGGGTTCTGCTGGGTTCTGCTGGGTCTCCTGGGTTCTTCTGGGTTCTGCTGGGTTCTGCTGGGTCTCCTGGGTTCTGCTGGGTTCTGCTGGGTCTCCTGGGTTCTGCTGGGTTTTCTGGGTTCTGCTGGGTCTCCTGGGTTCTGCTGGGTCTCCTGGGTTCTTCTGGGTACTTCTGGGTTCTCCTGGGTTCTTCTGGGTACTTCTGGGTTCTGCTGGGTTCTGCTGGGTCTCCTGGGTTCTGCTGGGTTCTGCTGGGTCTCCTGGGTTCTGCTCGGTCTCCTGGGTTTTCTGGGTACTTCTGGGTTCTTCTGGTTCTTCTGGGTTCTGCTGGGTTCTGCTGGGTCTCCTGGGTTCTGCTGGGTCTCCTGGGTTCTGCTGGGTTCTTCTGGGTTCTGCTGGGTTCTGCTGGGTCTCCTGGGTTCTGCTGGGTTCTGCTGGGTCTCCTGGGTTCTGCTGGGTCTCCTGGGTTCTGCTGGGTCTCCTGGGTTCTTCTGGGTACTTCTGGGTTCTGCTGGGTTCTGCTGGGTCTCCTGGGTTCTGCTGGGTTCTGCTGGGTCTCCTGGGTTCTGCTGGGTCTCCTGGGTTCTTCTGGGTACTTCTGGGTTCTACTGGGTTCTTCTGGGTTCTGCTGGTTCTGCTGGGTCTCCTGGGTTCTGCTGGGTCTCCTGGGTTCTGCTGGGTTCTTCTGGGTTCTGCTGGGTTCTGCTGGGTCTCCTGGGTTCTGCTGGGTCTCCTGGGTTCTGCTGGGTCTCCTGGGTTCTGTTGGGTTCTTCTGGGTCTCCTGGGTTCTTCTGGGTTCTGCTGGGTCTCCTGGGTTCTCCTGGGTTCTGCTGGGTTCTTCTGGGTTCTGCTGGGTTCTGCTGGGTCTCCTGGTTCTGCTGGGTTCTGCTGGGTCTCCTGGGTTCTGCTGGGTCTCCTGGGTTCTTCTGGGTTCTGCTGGGTCTCCTGGGTTCTTCTGGGTTCTGCTGGGTCTCCTGGGTTCTGCTGGGTCTCCTGGGTTCTGCTGGGTCTCCTGGGTTCTTCTGGGTCTCCTGGGTTCTGCTGGGTTCTGCTGGGTCTCCTGGGTTCTGCTGGGTCTCCTGGGTTCTTCTGGGTACTTCTGGGTTCTGCTGGGTTCTGCTGGGTCTCCTGGGTTCTGCTGGGTCTCCTGGGTTCTGCTGGGTCTCCTGGGTTCTGCTGGGTTCTGCTGGGTCTCCTGGGTTCTGCTGGGTCTCCTGGGTTCTGCCAGGTTCTGCTGGGTCTCCTGGGTTCTGCTGGGTCTCCTGGGTTCTGCTGGGTCTCCTGGGTTCTGCTGGGTCTCCTGGGTTCTGCCAGGTTCTGCTGGGTCTCCTGGGTTCTGCTGGGTCTCCTGGTTCTCTGGGTTCTGCTGGGTTCTGCTGGGTTCTGCTGGGTTCTTCTGGGTTCTGCTGGGTTCTGCTGGGTCTCCTGGGTTCTGCTGGGTCTCCTGGGTTCTGCTGGGTTCTGCTGGGTCTCCTGGGTTCTGCTGGGTCTCCTGGGTTCTGCTGGGTGTCCTGGGTTCTGTTGGGTTCTTCTGGGTCTCCTGGGTTCTTCTGGGTTCTGCTGGGTCTCCTTGGTTCTCCTGGGTTCTGCTGGGTTCTTCTGGGTTCTGCTGGGTTCTTCTGGGTCTCCTGGGTTCTGCCAGGTTCTGCTGGGTCTCCTGGGTTCTGCTGGGTCTCCTGAATTCTGCTGGGTTCTGCTGGATCTCCTGGGTTCTTCTGGGTTCTGCTGGGTGTCCTGGGTTCTGCTGGGTTCTGCTGGGTTCTGCCTCATAACTTTGACCAAAAGCTGCTGCAGGTTGGAGAAACGTTTTTAAAATGTAAACTAATTATTGTCCTTGATCTAATCATACAGTAATACTGTAAAAACTACTTGGCATTGATATAAAATCCCATTTTCTATAAAATTTTATGTCCCATTGATCAAATCAGTTGTTTTGTTTCTGAACAGATTTTGCTGATCTGGAAAACAAACTAAAGAGGCCATTACATCATTACATCGTTACATCATGACATCGTTACATCATTACATCATTACATCATGACATCGTTACATCATGACATCGTTACATCATGACATCGTTACATCATTACATCGTTACATCATGACATCTTACATCATTACATCATGACATCATGACATCATTACATCATTACATCATGACATCGTTACATCATTACATCATGACATCATTACATCATTACATCGTTACATCATCACATCATAACATCATTACATCATTACATCATGACATCATTACATCATGACATCGTTACATCATTACATCATGACATCCTTACATCATTACATCATGACATCATTACATCTTTACATCATTACATCATTACATCATGACATCATGACATCCTTACATCGTTACATCATGACATCCTTACATCATTACATCATGACATCGTTACATCATGACATCGTTACATCTTTACATCATTACATCATATCATCCATTACCCGGATGTGTGAAAATGATATTTGGTTCGTATGAAACCATTTTTCATACCTGGAGAAGATCCAGTTCTAATAAAGTAAAGACCAGAAACCAAATTATTTAATCTCTTCTTCCAGCCTGGTGAGGATTTCTGTCGTGGTCAGAAACCAAGATGTGGACAGATTACAGGGAGAGAAACCACAGAGCTGTGATTTATCAGCAGATTAGTTCTGGATTAAACCTGGTGCTGGTTCAGGGTGTCTGAACTTGTCGGCTCGTTTCACCTGCAGAGCTTTGATAGGGAGCCGGGCGTTGAGCCATGTGGTACACCACAACAACAGATCCAGAAGGCAGAGGAACTGATGATGAAGGTTCTGCTTGATGGGAAACCCAGAACGATAACATTTAATAACTGTATAAAATGAGAATTGTGAATGTTCTGGTCCGGTTCAGGATTTTAACTCTCCTGCTTCAACGTGTTTCCAGAAACTTCAACAAGTGTGGATTCTGTGGATTGTGGAAGTGTGGAGGTAATCTACGTGTTTTCTAGTCCTCACCTTTGACCCTGTGTTTAATCTATATAACATGTGAAAGATCAACATGTGGGATGATGTGGTGCAGCAGGACTCCAGCAGCTGGACCAAAGTGGACCCTGAGCTGGACGGGACGTCTCCGGATGAAGATCCCACTTACAGGTAAAACCTCAGAACCTGGAGGTCAGCAGGTCAAACTGTGACATCATCACCTCAAACTTCTTCTTCATGTTTGGTTTCAGCCTCCAGTCTGCAGCGGGACACTTTGAATGCAGCGTCTCTGGTCTGCGTTGGGTCTGCAGGGAGAAGGTGGGCTTTCGGTACCGGTTCTGCTCCTGGGTCGGACACATGGAGAGGATGGAGAGCAGAGGATACCGGCCTGCTGGACCTTTGCTGGACATCTCTGTCCTTACTGGGAAGGTGATGGAGGTGCAGCTGCCACACTGGGTCTGCACCGGTATGAGAACATGAAAAACATGATTTCTGTTTTCAGAACCGATCCAGAAGTTTCTCACAGAGTTTCTGTTTCTGCTGCGTTTCAGACGATGTTCCTGAGTTACTGAAGAACTTTGCTGTCCTCCATGTTGGCGACTGTGGAGATGTTCTGGAGAAAGCGACCCGGGTCACAAAGACCCATGTCGGGTTAACAGAACCAGTTTTCTCTTTGCTGGGAGCTCTGAGAAATCTTTTCTTTTCTCCAAGAATCATCTGCAACACATTAATTTACTACCAGCCCAAAACGTCCTACCTGAAGATGCACGTCTACCTGATTCCACCGGATCCTGCTCTGAAACAGGTGATTGGTTATTTATTTCATTATATTCTTTATTTATCCATATTAAATCATTTTTACATTTAAATCTGTTTTAAACAGACAGCTTGATAAGGAAGGGATGGAGCATATTAATAATAATGATATAAAACAAAATTTATATCATTATTATTAAATTTATTAGATTTTATATCATTAGAGATGTTTAAACATGTTTTAATCCAATAAATGAAAACAATCACAGATTAATCCAATCCCACGTCTTCTTGTTAAATCCTGCAGCATCGACTTTAAACTTGAAGTTTTAAATAAAAACATCTGAGCTGGAAAGATTATTAAAACTTTGTTTCTGTGATCAGAGATGTTTAGTTTTAACTCCTCAGTTCTTAAACTGATTTAATGTTTAACGGCACCAATACAAGCTGAACGCTCAGTTTAGATATTAATCATATTACAGTGATGAAAGGGTGAAACTCCGGTTGATATAAATCCAGACTTGATTTCTTCATCATTATTCTCAGGTGAACTTTTATTTCAGCGGTCCCATAATGCTGAACATTTCAATATCAAGGATCTTTTTTACTTTTATGAACTTCCTCATTATGGAACCAATGAATATCATAATTTACAGTATTTCCGTTTCTTTGCAACATGGCAGCAGGTTGTTGCTGTCACTTCCTGGGAGAGAGGACTCTCTTCTGATTGGTCGTCAGTGTGAATCACTGACTAGTTTCAAGCTCTTTGGGTTCCTTTGGATCAGATCAAGAGTTTCACAAACCATTTAACATTTTATTGCTTCAGTGTTTCTGTCTTCAGTTAAAACACCTGGGCTGCTTTCTGGTTTCTGTCCTACAGTCGGTCCACAGGAGAGAATCCTCCAAGGGATACGAAGAAATCATGAAGCCCCGCCCAGACAAGCCTCTGAAGATGGACCGTGGATTCAGCCTCCAGGCCACCGTAGAGACGGCCAGAATCCAGCCACCGGTACCGTTTGGACTGGAAGGCCCACATACTCAGGCGAACATCTCTCTGTAGAGACTAACACAGATGGACTGCAGACTCTGACCTGATACCGAGTTTCTGTCACAGGAAACTGAGTTTCACATGCAACCGGGTTGGATCCGACCGTGAGCGGATCCGGTCAGCACAAACACAAAGACGTTAGCGTGACTCTGACTGACGGCTCAGCAACACATTTACTGGCATCCATTCAGATTGTGGGAAATGAAGGAATTTATGAGAAACGCAGGCGATGTTTACGATCACAGCGACCAAAACCTGAGCCAATCACAGAACAACACACAACCTGAGTGTGGGAACCTTCAGTTTGGGAACCTTTTGTTTGGGAACATTCAGTTTGGGAACCTTTGGTTTGAGGACATTTAGTTTGGGAACCTTCAGTTTGGGAAACTTCTGTTTGGGAACCTTTAGTTTGGGAACTTTCTGTTTAGGAAACTTCTGTTTGGGAACATTCAGTTTGGGAACCTTCTGTTTGGGAACCTTTAGTTTGGGAAACTTCTGTTTGGGAACCTTTAGTTTGGGAACTTTCTGTTTAGGAAACTTCTGTTTGAACATTTAGTTTGGGAACCTTCAGTTTGGGAACCTTTGGTTTGGGAAACTTCTGTTTGGGAACATTCAGTTTGGGAACCTTTTGTTTGGGAATCTTTAGTTTGGGAACTTTCTGTTGGGAACCTTCTATTTGGGAACCTTTGGTTTGGGAACCTTTGGTTTGGGAACCTTCGGTTTGGGAACATTTAGTTTGGGAACCTTCAGTTTGGGAACCTTCGGTTTGGGAACATTTAGTTTGGGAACCTTTGGTTTGGGAACATTTAGTTTGGGAACCTTAAGTTTGGGAACCTTTGGTTTGAGGAACTCACGTTTTGTTTCAGTCCACTTTGGTTCTGATATTTTAATCCCAGAGTGAATCTGGTGTCATAATCCTTAATCTGCAGGTTGATTTTATTCCCTGAACCGTTTTGACCTCAGAGTCAAAGTGACTTGTTGCTTCACAGGAAATCACTCTGAGGCCCGACAGCCAGGATCCAAACTTCTACGAGGTTTTTATTGAGAGTCCAGACGAAAACTTCAACCTGGAGCTGCTGCAGACTCATTCAGAGAAAGTTTGGTTCTGTGAGATTAGGAAAGGTCAGTTTATGTCATAATTATGACTTCTGGAAACTTTCAGCCTGAACTTCATTCAGCTCGTTGCCTCAGCTTAATAATTCATGTTTCACATTGAGATTGTTTCTGTTCTTTATTTCTTAGATGATCATCCTAAATCTGGTTCCACTGGAGGTGAGATGCTTCATTTATTTACAAAAAATCTGCACTGAAGGATTTTTATGATTAAAATGACATTTTATGAAGATATTAATCAATGATCATCTGAACTAGTTGGAAACAAACAGAGTCCAGTTTGACCTGCGTCACCTTGATGTTACGAAAGGAAACTACTGGCTGTATCTTCATCATAACTCAATTTATCATCAATATTTCTGTGTTTTTGTCTGTCAGGTGGAGGATGTTCAACAGAAACTGTTACTGTGAAGAAAGAAGGTATGAAATCATAGAAACCATCGTTCTGCATGTGAATATTAAACAAAACTGACAGTTTTCTATATTAATAAATTAACAACTTGCATTTACATTCAGGCTGTCTAACGTACAGAAATCAGTTTTTTTTTAGTCTTTTTCTGTTTTTCATCAGAGGAACATTTTGTGGACAAACACAGAGAGACACTGATCCAGAGAGTGAGGAACGTAGAACCCGTCTTAGATGGACTTTTACAGAACAAAGTTCTGATGGAGGAAACCTACGACAGGATCCGATCTCTGCCGACCTCTGAGGCTCAGCTGAGGGAAATCTTCTCCTGCCTCAGAGCTGCCGACGAATGCAAAGACATTTTCCTCTCCATCCTTCAGGAGAAAGAGCCACACCTGATCACCGACCTCCAGAGGAAATGTTGAGGAGGAACCAGGGCCGGACCTAAGGGTGGCCCAGGGGGTTCTGGTTCCTGCTGGCATGGCGTTACTTTTTACTGAGTAGAAACTGAAACATTTCACCATTTTTAAAGTTTTCATCAGCTGATATAACTGAGGTCGGCTGCATCTTTTTGTTTTTATGTCACATTAAATGAAGCATTTTAATGAAACCAAATATTGGAGATGATTTATAAACTTCAACTCATTGAGTTTCCTTTGGTGACAATAACATTATTATTGTAATCATTATTGTTATAGTTTGTGACATGTTTTCATCAAAACCAGGTTGTTAAAGTGGAACCGTGATGAAAGGTGTCGGTCGGGTCCAGACTGAAGTTCTGACCGACTTCCTGTCCAGGATTTGAACAGCCAATCACATTCTGCCACAACTAAAGAAATGTTTTTTCAGAGCAGCTTGGTATAAAATCACAAAATCTAAAGACAGATTCAGACTTTAGAGGCTAAAACTGGATCATTGCAAACAAACAAAGTGACATAATATTAAAATATCAAAACAAAAGATCCTTTAAACCAGCAGAACTGATTCATTGTTAAGCTGCTGATGTGTTTCATTGTTATTGTTTTGGTGAATATTGGCATCATTATGATTATTAAAAAATGATCAAGCATGTTGGTTTTTGAAAACAATTTCAACATGAAAGCAAATTATTAAATATAATAAAGACAAAAGAAAATAGAATGAAAAATATATTTTCATATTCAATTAATCTGTGACTCATCACAGTATGTTACAGTGGAGCTAACAAACAGGCTGGTTTACAGCATAGAGAGACTTAAATAGATCTACCTGCAGGTAGATCTGTTCAGGTAGATCTGTTCAGGTAGATCTGTACAGGTAGCTCTCAGCAGGTAGATCTGTTCAGGTACATCTGTTCAGGTAGCTCTCAGCAGGTAGATCTGTTCAGGTAGCTCTCAGCAGGTAGATCTGTTCAGGTAGCTCTCAGCAGGTAGATCTGTTCAGGTAGATCTGTACAGGTAGATCTGTTCAGTTAGATCTGTTCAGGTAGCTCTCAGCAGGTAGATCTGTTCAGGTAGATCTGTTCAGGTAGCTCTGTTCAGGTAGCTCTGTTCAGGTAGATCTGTTCAGGTAGCTCTGTTCAGGTAGATCTGTACAGGTAGATCTGTTCAGTTAGATCTGTTCAGGTAGCTCTCAGCAGGTAGATTTCTTCTTTCCTCCCGCTGGGTCCCGTGGAGTTTCAGTATCTGCGTCCTTTGACCCCAAACAGGAACGTGAAGGATTCACTGTGACTTTATTTAATAATCTGAAACAAGCAACAGAAGGTAAAGGTTTTGTTATAAAATGTGAATTTGCTATTACTTTCAGTTTTGCTGAAAGTGAAACTGAAGACATTGACAATTTGAACTCTTTGCTGTATATTTAAAACTATTGTATTAAATCTCAATAGAAACTAAGAATAAAGTTATTTGACTCTGCAGATGCGTAATGCATGTAATGTACAGATCACAGAGGACTGAGCTCTAACTGCATTTCATATGAACTCGGTTTATTTTCTCCAGACGGGATTCCTGACTGAACAAGAAACAAATCTGAACGTGTTTATTCACTCTGGTTAGAAGTAAATAATCGAGCAGACTTGGCAGATATTACAGTTTATTTATTACAACATATATTCAGCTTCCATGACTGACCTTCGACCTGGGAGGAGCCTGCAGGTGTTTGTGCTGCAGGCTGTTAAAATGCTGCATACTTATCAAAACAGTTCACAGGTCGTTCTTATAAATCACATTAATATATTTCTAATATCACCTGAAGATTGTGTTTCAGATCACTAAAGCCTGCAGAGCAGTGAGATCAGGGACACTATTTACGAGTTCACCACAGTAAATACTGAAAACCCCATGTTTCATACAAAATGTTAACAAAATTGTCAGTTTGTGATTTTTGTGACTCCATGAACTGAAACATTGTTTTCACGGTGGATCAGATTTTTCTGCAGCCTGTTATCAGCCTGTTATTTGTTTGCAGGTCAGTTCGGTTTGTGTCAGTTGACTTTGGGCTCCAATCTGATATTTTGGTCGAACTTTGATGCTTTGTTAAATAGTTTTCAAATTATTAAATTGAAGTTTTAGTCTCCTTTGTGAAGCCCTCTGTCCTGGTTTAAGTATTGTTCCTTACAGTAACACTGAGGTTCTAATGCATTAAATTGACCAACACTCTCTTGGTCTTGTCTACATTTACCTGTGATTGTTTCTATTTGCACCACGTCACAAAATGATCCTTCAGATTCCTGAACTCCTCCCGTCTCCCTCCATGCTCCACTGTAGCCGTTTTATCTGACAGTTTTAGTCGACGACAGCCTGGAACTCAAACTGTCTATGCAGCCTCCTGGAAGCAGCAAATGTTCAGGATGTCGTTGATCTGATGCTGCAGACCAGCAGCGGAGAATGTGTGGAGGCCGTCAGAACCGTTCTGACCAAGATGGACCGCTTGGATCTGGTGCAGAGATTGTCAAAAGGTGAAACAGAGGAGAAAGAAAAGTTTCCTCCTGAATCTGTTTCAGGAAACCTGATCAGGAAATGTAACTTATTCTGATCAGTGAAAGTTATCAAGATAATCAATCAATCAATCAAATTTTATTTGTATAGCACATTTCAGCTACAAGGCATTTCAAAGTGCTTTACATCATAAACATAAAACACAAAGGCATGCAACATAGAATAAAATACCAAATGTTTTTTCTTCCCTTCCTTTCTTTTTGACACGGAATTTAAGCGCCTGTTACCGCCGGACTCCGCCGTCCGTTTAACCACGGGTATTCGTCGGGCCCCGTTCCCCAAAAGGAAAAAAAAATTACATACATATCCACAAATACAAATCCATACATATTACATTTCAAATAAAACTCTAATCAGCTGGTTTTTAGTTGTGATTTAAAGGAAGTCAGGGTTTCTGCTGTTTTACAGTTTTCTGGAAGTTTGTTCCAAATTTTTGGTCCATAGATGCTGAAAGCTGTTTCTCCTCTCTTGGTTCTGGTTCTGGATGCAGAGCAGAACCAGAACCAGAACCTGAGAGTCTGGAAGGTTGATACAACAACAGCAGATCTTTGATGTATTGTGGTGCTAAACCGTTCTGTGATTTATAAACAACAGGATTTTAAAATTTATTCTGTGAGCTACAGGGAGCCAGTGGAGGGACTTTAGAACTGCTGTTATGTCTCTATCTTCCTGGTTCTAGTGAGAACAGGAGCAGCAGCTTCTGGATCAACTGCAGCTGGATGATTGATTTGTTGGACAGGCCTGAGAAGATGCTGTTACAATAATCAATGCGACTAAAGATAAACGCATGGATGAGTTTCTCTAGATCTGGCTGAGACATTAGTCCTCTAATCCTGGAGATGTTCTTCAGGTGATAGAAGGCCGATTTTGTTACTGTCTTTATGTGGCTCTGGAGGTTCAAGTCCGAGTCCATCACTACTCCCAGGTTTCGGCCTGATCGCTAGTTTTTACTTGTAATAACTGAAGCTGTGCATTGACTCTAGATCGTTCCTCTTTAGGTCCAAAAATAATGACTTCAGTTTTGTTTTTGTTCAGTTGGAGAAAGTTTTGGCACATCCACACATTTATCTGTTCTAAACATTTATTGAAAACATGTTGGAAAAGTTTTTTTTGCTGTTGTGAAACTTTGTGGTTTAAATTTTATAGTCCAGATGTTGAAACTTCTGCTAATCTGAATGTTTCTATTTTTCTTGTCAGATAAATTTTCTGTTGAAGAAGAACGACTTTCACTGGACCAGAGGGTCAGTAAGGCTGCAGAGGTCAACTGTTACTTAGACGATGTGAAATTATCTTAGACACAAATTTATTAAACATTCAAATAAATTATATGTAAAAATCCAGGTGCTTGTTTCAGGTTTGGTTGCATTAGATTTTGAGGGAATGTTGTTTTCTTAGAAAAGATCAAAGAAACCAAATAAAATCCAGATAAATGTTTTTGAGCAATATGGATCATGAAATAGAAAATTATCCCTCATATAATCAAGATTTATGTCGTGCACTTTTTATCTATGTTTACGTGGAAACACATAGGTAAACATTTAATTTAGTATTTTTTTCTCTGACTCTCACAGGTAGAAAAGCTGATCAATGATATTAACCTGATGTTGGAAACACTGAAGGATCTGAATGATGAAGAGTTCATGGAATTTAAAGGAAGATGAGTTCCTTTAATAACTTCAGGTCCACCATCAGTCATCAGCAAATCCAGCTGGACACATCAGACCAGCAGGAATCAGTGATTTCCATTCTTCAGACTCATGGAAAAGAGTCTATCAAGGTGACCAGAGATGTTTTAGAGAGCATCAGGAGGACGGATTTGGTCCAGAGGATGAGCAGCAGCTCAGCCTCCACAGGTAAAAGCTGCAGATTCAGAAATCAGTCACACGCTTCTCAACATGGTCTATATCCTGATTTAACTTGAACAAGGTGAGATCAGCAGTGTGATCACAGATAGGAAGGTGAGTTCATGATGAACCAGGATGTTGGGCTTCATCATGTTAGACAGCAGTCAGTGGCAGCTACTGCAGCCCAGAGAGAAACAGAGTTAAACCAGAAAGACAGATGGACGGATCGTCTGTGCAGAGGCCACCAACTTTAGTCAACTTGATCCTGAATGAGAAAAAGAGCTTCCTGTTGATCTTTAATGGTTATAATTTCATCTGTTTTCCTCAGAGATGCTGTTGGGGAAACGATCTGATCTGATCCATGAAGTGAGTAAATCTTGATTGTCCAGATCAGTGGACAGCAGAGGATAATTATTAGGATTATTCTGGCCTCTCTGAGAAGAAACATCCTGAAAATGTTCTTGAATCTCCAGGTGGCGACCATGGCAGCTGTTAAAGACGTTCTTCTGGAAACTCTGCAGGATTTAAATGAAACTGAATTCATTGAGTTAAAACTGTTGCTGCAGTTCGCAAACTTCCAGAGAAATATTCCACTAATCTCGTGGGATGAACTGGATGATACAAACAGAACCAGAGTGGTGGATCATCTGGTTAATAAATGTGGTAAACTATCTGTGGAGGTGATCAGGGAGGTTCTACTGGACCTGAACAGAACCGATCTGGCGCTGGTCCTGCCTGAGACCAGCTCAGCATCTAAAGGTACCAGATGATTTAACATCTGATGAAACTCAAACATCTATTAGAGCTTCCAGCTGGATTCGTTAGTCTCTGTTTTCTAATTGATCCAGAATAAAATGATTTTAAACCAGAATCTGTGAAAACTGATTAATGTTTCATCTTTTCTCCTCAGAGAAACTTTGTGTGGAGCTGAACTCTGCTTTCCTCCAGAAAGTGAGTCATGTCACTTTTTATTTCATCAGTGTAATCTTCACCAGGAGTTTGTTTCTTCTAGAGCTCAATCAGCTTTTGGTTGCTGCACATGAAGAAGAAACTCCTGGTCTAATGAAAAGAATCTGATTGTTTCAGCCCTGAGAGATGATGAGTTTTTATTCACCAGGTGGAAAAGTTGGAGTTTGTGACGGAACTGCTGCTGGAAACACTGGAAGAGCTTGATGAAGGAGAGATTGGAAAGTTTCAGACAATTACACAGAATAAAATTGACCATCAAAGTGAATATATACCGATGTGGGAAACCAAATTAATAAATGTGCGATACATTGTGGTGGTTTTTGTGCTGACTTATTTCCACCAGTCAGTGGAGAAGACCACGGATGTTTTAAAGCAGATGAAGAAGCACGATCTGATAGCGAAGCTGTCAGCCAGAAGCTCAGGACCTAAAGGTTCAACATTTCAGAGTAAAACATCTCAACCTTCTCAAAGTGGCTGATATCAGGGTTATGATGTTTCTCTGCATGGTTTTGATCACATCGTTGCACATAGAAGTGATGGTCAGATAGAAACTTTTCTTCTTGTTTTCTCCTCAGAGAAACCTTCTGCAGGTCCACATCGTTCTGCTCTGATCCACAACGTGAGTAAAGAGACATCAGGAGTTTATTTCATGATCTTCAGGTGAAAGAGGTTAAAACAAAGATCATTTCTAACCTCAATGATTTCATTTCATAGTTTGGCTCTGAGGAAATCAGCTGCAGTTTACGAATGTGATGAATCTTAGCCGCCATGTTTGTGATTTTCCCTGAATGAAGCAGCTTTCTCTGTCATAAACTGAATGATTCAGGTGGCGATGATGGCAGCGGTTAGACAGCAACTCCTGGAAACTCTGGACAAATTAACCCAGGAGGAATTTTCAAAAGTTAAGCGAAATTTATCAGACTTTTCACCAAGATTGGAGTTCACAACACAGACAGCAGAAGTCGTTGATGAGATGATGGAGACGTTTGGCCAGCAGTCAGTGAAGATGATCAAAGATCTTCTGATTGAAATAAACAGAAAAGATTTGGCTGAGAATCTGCAAGACACTGAGACTCATTAAATCTGTAATAAGTCTAATCATATATATTTTTTTGTTACTCTAGCATTGTACTCTGTCCCAAATCTAATTTAATATACATACCGATGTATACATCCATATGGACACTCATACACACATTTTCGTGGCTATCTTTGTGGGGATTTTCATTGACTTGCATTCATTTCTACTGCCTTAACCTTACCCTTATCCTGACCCTAAGCCGAAGCAAAACTTAATTCACAGTTTAGTCCTAAATCTAACTCTTGACCCAAAAACATTTCCCCTAGTGGGGCCAGACTTTGGTCCCCACAACGTAGTATGTGTCATGATGATCCCTGTGTGTACCCTAAGATAATATCTTGCAGACATCCTGCATCCAATACCTGGGGCGCACATACACACGCATACTTGTTTTCTGTACACTTTGAGGACTTTGTTTAACCAGTGACTAGGGGGTTACACGTGGGGACACAATTTTCTAAATGAGCTAAAGGTTTGATTTGGTTTTATACCTTTGGACTTTTTTTTTCTTTTTTAGGGACCCTGGAACATAAAATATAATCTTTAGTATATAAATTTTTTGAAATATAGAACATTGAAAATCTGTTAGGGTTTGGGATGCACTTGTGTATCCATCGCCAACTACTACCAGGTGGCACTTTTTAAGTTTAGGAACACTGAGATACATATGAGGATGTCAAATACAAGTAATAACGTTCTTTTGAGTCAATAAACTGCCTTATATTAGATTTGTTTTGTTTAAAATTATTTTTAAGTACTTGGCGACCAGTTTACTGCCAACCATCAATACACCATACAGTTGTATATGAACTTTTATTGCCCCAATTCCAATATTTCAATCTTTTGACAAAAATCTACTTACAAGCTAAGATACATGTGTACATAAATGAAATTATTCATTAATACATATCAATACATAAACATGAACATGCAGTATGTAAATGTACTTGCACTACAAAACTTGACTGCAGCTGTCCCATTTCCATCTCATCAGTCCATAAAATATCTAGGTTCAAGTTTCAACATATGTGTCTTGTTTAGTGGTTGTCACGTTTCAGCTTTCCTTACCCTGGCCATGTCTCTAAGTACTGAATATATTTTACTTCTGGGCTCTCCAGGTAGGTTGCAGTTCTGGGAATATGACAGTAATGGAAGATGACGAGTTCCTGGTAGCTTCACGTTTGTTTTTTCTCCAATCTTTGGCAATAAATTTATGTCTCTTTGTGTCAAAACATTTCTTGCGATCCTTTTGACTATTTGCAGCAAAATGTTGGATTGTTCTGTGACCAAGCCCCAGCATCTTAGCAATTTGAAGAGTGACAGATCGTAGTGAAGGACCGTCTGAAGCCAGGTTTCGAGGCGTGTTCCGTGTAAAATGGGAGTGTGTCAGATACAGCCCTGCTTCGATGCTTGTGTCGTCTTGCTGAAAATCACATGACTGGCAACAAACGATGTCTCGCATTATCACGTGACAGCTTAATTTTGCGTCAGTTTTCAAAATAAATGCATATTTGTTTTGTGTTTGTGCTGAACTTCACTTGGGACAGCGCAACCTCTCGCTAACTGCGTTTGCTGCCACTCGATGAGAGCATGTTTCTCCTGTCTGCATGTTGCCAATAAAATGGTGAAAAAGAGCTTAATGTGTAAATTGATTTTTCATCATTTAGCTTATCTATATAATGTTCAGTGTTTGTTGTCACCAACTCTGTGTGAAACGTCATTCATGTGCTGCGGAGTGATCAGAAACGGCAGAGAATAGTCTCAAGATGAGGCAGGCAGTTTTCTTGCATCATGGCAGGGGCGCTCATGATCCCACACATTGTGACTCCACGTCTGCAAAGTAAGAAACAGCGGGTTAGCAATACAGTAAATAGTGAAGCTACACGCAACAAATCTGTGTGTAGCTTGGCCGATACTGAGAGCAAGATAAAGGTGGTTTCAAGTTGTAATTCAATGGGTTTCCACTTTGCTGTGCAGCTTGGCATTAAAATGATATCTATATTTCCAAGTTTCATTGAGTTAACGGATTTATTCTACCGTGGCAGTGTGCCTACAGATGGCATGTGAAAGTATGTTCTTTTTGCCCTTCAGTGTCCACATCCACAAAATTTCTGTATGTGAACAATAACGTGGAGAGGATTTTATAATTTTGATTAAGTCAGAGCCTCACCGCACATCACTGATATATATATATATATATATATATATATATATATATATATATATATATATATATATATATATATATATATATATATATATATATATATATATCTCATATCTATATCTCTAGATATAGGTGGCCTATATGGCCTATAGGTGATATAGATGTCTATAGATCTAGATCTATATCTATAGATTTTTATATATTTAGTTCAAAATCTATAGATACAAATCTATATAGATATGTCTATATCAGTAGATAGATAGATAGATAGATAGATAGATAGATAGATAGATAGATAGATAGATAGATAGATAGATAGATAGATAGATAGATAGATAGATAGATAGATAGATAGATAGATAGATAGATAGATAGATAGATAGATAGATAGATAGACAGATAGATAGATAGATAGATAGATATAGATAGATAGATAGATAGATAGATAGATGTATGTATGTATGTATGTATGTATGTATGTATGTATGTTCTGGTCTGCACTTTTTCAGAGGACAGGTCTATGTGGTCAGCTGAAAAGCTCTTTGTGAGTCCATGGAACTGCAAGAGACAGGAGGACACAGGACTCAGTCTCTCCAACTCATACAGATACTTTCTGATTCCCCAGAAAGACCCTGTATCATGTTTATACTGTCTGTTGCTGCTCTTTTTGTGTTTAACTTGTACAATAAGAAAATACTGAGCAGATTCATAGAACAATTTACGGAGCAAGTGAGAAAATATTGCGAATGTAATCAGCGATCTTCTACAAAAGTAACAAGGTGTAAAATCATAAAAACCCTAATGTGTTTATGATCACCAGTCTGTCATAATAAATTATTCTGATTGACCCGGATTTTAACTCTCCTGCTTCAACGTGTTTCCAGAAGAAACTTCAACAAGTGTGGATTCTGTGGATTGTGGAAGTGTGGAGGTAATCTACGTGTTTTCTAGTCCTCACCTTTGACCCTGTGTTTAATCTATATAACATGTGAAAGATCAACATGTGGGATGATGTGGTGCAGCAGGACTCCAGCAGCTGGACCAAAGTGGACCCTGAGCTGGACGGGACGTCTCCGGATGAAGATCCCACTTACAGGTAAAACCTCAGAACCTGGAGGTCAGCAGGTCAAACTGTGACATCATCACCTCAAACTTCTTCTTCATGTTTGGTTTCAGCCTCCAGTCTGCAGCGGGACACTTTGAATGCAGCGTCTCTGGTCTGCGTTGGGTCTGCAGGGAGAAGGTGGGCTTTCGGTACCGGTTCTGCTCCTGGGTCGGACACATGGAGAGGATGGAGAGCAGAGGATACCGGCCTGCTGGACCTTTGCTGGACATCTCTGTCCTTACTGGGAAGGTGATGGAGGTGCAGCTGCCACACTGGGTCTGCACCGGTATGAGAACATCATGAAAAACATGATTTCTGTTTTCAGAACCGATCCAGAAGTTTCTCACAGAGTTTCTGTTTCTGCTGCGTTTCAGACGATGTTCCTGAGTTACTGAAGAACTTTGCTGTCCTCCATGTTGGCGACTGTGGAGATGTTCTGGAGAAAGCGACCCGGGTCACAAAGACCCATGTCGGGTTAACAGAACCAGTTTTCTCTTTGCTGGGAGCTCTGAGAAATCTTTTCTTTTCTCCAAGAATCATCTGCAACACATTAATTTACTACCAGCCCAAAACGTCCTACCTGAAGATGCACGTCTACCTGATTCCACCGGATCCTGCTCTGAAACAGGTGATTGGTTATTTATTTCATTATATTCTTTATTTATCCATATTAAATCATTTTTACATTTAAATCTGTTTTAAACAGACAGCTTGATAAGGAAGGGATGGAGCATATTAATAATAATAATGATATAAAACAAAAATTTATATCATTATTATTAAATTTATTAGATTTTATATCATTAGAGATGTTTAAACATGTTTTAATCCAATAAATGAAAACAATCACAGATTAATCCAATCCCACGTCTTCTTGTTAAATCCTGCAGCATCGACTTTAAACTTGAAGTTTTAAATAAAAACATCTGAGCTGGAAAGATTATTAAAACTTTGTTTCTGTGATCAGAGATGTTTAGTTTTAACTCCTCAGTTCTTAAACTGATTTAATGTTTAACGGCACCAATACAAGCTGAACGCTCAGTTTAGATATTAATCATATTTACAGTGATGAAAGGATGAAACTCCGGTTGATATAAATCCAGACTTGATTTCTTCATCATTATTCTCAGGTAAACTTTTATTTCAGCGGTCCCATAATGCTGAACATTTCAATATCAAGGATCTTTTTTACTTTTATGAACTTCCTCATTATGGAACCAATGAATATCATATAATTTACAGTATTTCCGTTTCTTTGCAACATGGCAGCAGGTTGTTGCTGTCACTTCCTGGGAGAGAGGACTCTCTTCTGATTGGTCGTCAGTGTGAATCACTGACTAGTTTCAAGCTCTTTGGGTTCCTTTGGATCAGATCAAGAGTTTCACAAACCATTTAACATTTTATTGCTTCAGTGTTTCTGTCTTCAGTTAAAAACACCTGGGCTGCTTTCTGGTTTCTGTCCTACAGTCGGTCCACAGGAGAGAATCCTCCAAGGGATACGAAGAAATCATGAAGCCCCGCCCAGACAAGCCTCTGAAGATGGACCGTGGATTCAGCCTCCAGGCCACCGTAGAGACGGCCAGAATCCAGCCACCGGTACCGTTTGGACTGGAAGGCCCACATACTCAGGCGAACATCTCTCTGTAGAGACTAACACAGATGGACTGCAGACTCTGACCTGATACCGAGTTTCTGTCACAGGAAACTGAGTTCACATGCAACCGGGTTGGATCCGACCGTGAGCGGATTCGGTCAGCACAAACACAAAGACGTTAGCGTGACTCTGACTGACGGCTCAGCAACACATTTACTGGCATCCATTCAGATTGTGGGAAATGAAGGAATTTATGAGAAACGCAGGCGATGTTTACGATCAGCGACCAAAACCTGAGCCAATCACAGAACAACACACAACACCTGAGTGTGTGGGAACCTTCAGTTTGGGAACCTTCGGTTTGGGAACATTCAGTTTGGGAACCTTTGGTTTGAGGACATTTAGTTTGGGAACCTTCAGTTTGGGAAACTTCTGTTTGGGAACCTTTAGTTTGGGAACTTTCTGTTTAGGAAACTTCTGTTTGGGAACATTCAGTTTGGGAACCTTCTGTTTGGGAACCTTTAGTTTGGGAAACTTCTGTTTGGGAACCTTTAGTTTGGGAACTTTCTGTTTAGGAAACTTCTGTTTGGGAACATTTAGTTTGGGAACCTTCAGTTTGGGAACCTTTGGTTTGGGAAACTTCTGTTTGGGAACATTCAGTTTGGGAACCTTTTGTTTGGGAACCTTTAGTTTGGGAACTTTCTGTTTGGGAACCTTCTATTTGGGAACCTTTGGTTTGGGAACCTTTGGTTTGGGAACCTTCGGTTTGGGAACATTTAGTTTGGGAACCTTCAGTTTGGGAACCTTCGGTTTGGGAACATTTAGTTTGGGAACCTTTGGTTTGGGAACATTTAGTTTGGGAACCTTAAGTTTGGGAACCTTTGGTTTGAGGAACTCACGTTTTGTTTCAGTCCACTTTGGTTCTGATATTTTAATCCCAGAGTGAATCTGGTGTCATAATCCTTAATCTGCAGGTTGATTTTATTCCCTGAACCGTTTTGACCTCAGAGTCAAAGTGACTTGTTGCTTCACAGGAAATCACTCTGAGGCCCGACAGCCAGGATCCAAACTTCTACGAGGTTTTTATTGAGAGTCCAGACGAAAACTTCAACCTGGAGCTGCTGCAGACTCATTCAGAGAAAGTTTGGTTCTGTGAGATTAGGAAAGGTCAGTTTATGTCATAATTATGACTTCTGGAAACTTTCAGCCTGAACTTCATTCAGCTCGTTGCCTCAGCTTAATAATTCATGTTTCACATTGAGATTGTTTCTGTTCTTTATTTCTTAGATGATCATCCTAAATCTGGTTCCACTGGAGGTGAGATGCTTCATTTATTTACAAAAAATCTGCACTGAAGGATTTTTATGATTAAATGACATTTTATGAAGATATTAATCAATGATCATCTGAACTAGTTGGAAACAAACAGAGTCCAGTTTGACCTGCGTCACCTTGATGTTACGAAAGGAAACTACTGGCTGTATCTTCATCATAACTCAATTTATCATCAATATTTCTGTGTTTTTGTCTGTCAGGTGGAGGATGTTCAACAGAAACTGTTACTGTGAAGAAAGAAGGTATGAAATCATAGAAACCATCGTTCTGCATGTGAATATTAAACAAAACTGACAGTTTTCTATATTAATAAATTAACAACTTGCATTTACATTCAGGCTGTCTAACGTACAGAAATCAGTTTTTTTTTAGTCTTTTTCTGTTTTTCATCAGAGGAACATTTTGTGGACAAACACAGAGAGACACTGATCCAGAGAGTGAGGAACGTAGAACCCGTCTTAGATGGACTTTTACAGAACAAAGTTCTGATGGAGGAAACCTACGACAGGATCCGATCTCTGCCGACCTCTGAGGCTCAGCTGAGGGAAATCTTCTCCTGCCTCAGAGCTGCTGACGAATGCAAAGACATTTTCCTCTCCATCCTTCAGGAGAAAGAGCCACACCTGATCACCGACCTCCAGAGGAAATGTTGAGGAGGAACCAGGGCCGGACCTAAGGGTGGCCCAGGGGGTTCTGGTTCCTGCTGGCATGGCGTTACTTTTACTGAGTAGAAACTGAAACATTTCACCATTTTAAAGGTTTTCATCAGCTGATATAACTGAGGTCGGCTGCATCTTTTTGTTTTTATGTCACATTAAATGAAGCATTTTAATGAAACCAAATATTGGAGATGATTTTATAAACTTCAACTCATTGAGTTTCCTTTGGTGACAATAACATTATTATTGTAATCATTATTGTTATAGTTTGTGACATGTTTTCATCAAAACCAGGTTGTTAAAGTGGAACCGTGATGAAAGGTGTCGGTCGGGTCCAGACTGAAGTTCTGACCGACTTCCTGTCCAGGATTTGAACAGCCAATCACATTCTGCCACAACTAAAGAAAGTTTTTTCAGAGCAGCTTGGTATAAAATCACAAAATCTAAAGACAGATTCAGACTTTAGAGGCTAAAACTGGATCATTGCAAACAAACAAAGTGACATAATATTAAAATATCAAAACAAAAGATCCTTTAAACCAGCAGAACTGATTCATTGTTAAGCTGCTGATGTGTTTTCATTGTTATTGTGTTTGGTGAATATTGGCATCATTATGATTATTAAAGAAAATGATCAAGCATGTTGGTTTTTGAAAACAATTTCAACATGAAAGCAAATTATTAAAATATAATAAAGACAAAAGAAAATAGAATGAAAAATATATTTTCATATTCAATTAATCTGTGACTCATCACAGTATGTTACAGTGGAGCTAACAAACAGGCTGGTTTACAGCATAGAGAGACTTAAATAGATCTACCTGCAGGTAGATCTGTTCAGGTAGATCTGTTCAGGTAGATCTGTACAGGTAGGTCTGTTCAGGTAGATCTGTACAGGTAGATCTGTTCAGGTAGATCTGTTCAGGTAGCGCTCAGCAGGTAGATCTGTTCAGGTAGATCTGTTCAGGTAGATCTGTTCAGGTAGATCCATACAGGTAGATCTGTTCAGGTAGATCTGTTCAGGTAGATCTGTTCAGGTAGCTCTCAGCAGGTAGTTTTCTCTTTAGTCGGAGATGTGATAAAAGACGTATTTTCTCTAAGAATCATCTGCAACACATTAATTTACTACCAGCAAAACGTCCTACCTGAAGATGCACGTCTACCTGATTCCACCGGATCCTGCTCTGAAACAGGTGATTGGTTATTTATTTCATTATATTCTTTATCTGTATTAACTGCATGAGTTTTCATTTTTTTAAGCTCTAATATTTTGGTTATTACAACAACTACAAAACACAAATAAATGGAAGTGCTGTGTTAAAATGTTTAGAAATGATTAGCTCCAATTATGCTTTCCTATTAGTCCAGCATTTATCGAACATATGTCCATTGATCTGTAGAAGATACACTTGAACATTTAAACCTGGCTCAGGTTGTGGTTCAGTTCTCTTTAATGTGGGATAAATTGGATTTTATAAATTTCTGAATTCTTAAAACTGATCCTGACGTTTTAGTATTATCAGAAATGTTGCTGAAAAAATCTGTTACTGATCATAAATTTGAGTTTGAAGGCGTCAGTTTTTTAGAGCTAATAGTTTTGGAAAAGAATCGTTTTAAGTTAAATCAGAATTTCAAAGACCCAAATTCAGATAAGCGGAAGAAGTTGGATGGATGAATTTCAAAACAAACAATTAGTTGCTTTCTAGTAAAGTCAGTCTTACTAATGTTTTGACTTTCCCTCATTAGGTTGCTACAGACCACAGTGTGTAAAAGCTGAAACACTTGCATCACTCACAGCTGTGTTTTGTTGGACAGTTGTACTTTGTATGCCCTGAAAGTTGCACTTTAGCTTGTGCTGCAACCTGCTGGTTTTTATCTTCATTCTGTGAGAATGAGAACTTTTATGATTGGTCGTTTATTTATTCAGAGTTTTTCATCAGAGTTTTTCAAGATGAAATCTTGGAGAAACATGGCGACTGTTTTCTGTCCTTACAGTTGATCCACAAAGAAGAATCCTCCAGTGGGTATGAGGTCATGAAGAAGCCTCATCCAGACAAGTATCTGAAGATGCCGGGGATTCACTCTCCAAGCCACTGAAGAGACCGCCAGAATCCTACCGCCGGTACCGTTTGGACTTAGCTTCAGAACTGGGTTTTCAATTTGGTTTTGCTGATCAAACTTTGATCCCAGAACCGGCCAGAGTGAATCTGGGGCACTGATCATAAAACTGCAGGTCAACTTTATCGCCTGAAGCTTTTCTGACCACAGAGTCAGACTGACTTGTTGTTTCACAGGAAATCACTCTGAGAGTCAACAACCAAAACTTCTACGAGGTTTACATTGAGAATCCAGATGGAAACTTCAACCTGGAGCTTCTGCAGACAAAAACGGCTTGGATCAGAAAAACTGCACAACCTGTTTGGTTCTGTGAAATTCGGAAAGGTCAGTTATGTCACAATTATTACTTCGTCCCTTCGGCTCATTGAAGCAGCAAGTTTGATAAAATATTATGTTATAGATTGACTTTTTTCATTATGTAGTAAATTCTTCAACTTCAGTTCAGATCAGCAGTTCGGGTCTCAGAACCTTAACTGAACAATAATCCAAATGGTTCTGGATCAGATGAAGTAAATTTATGCTTACTAATGAATGAAACTGAATGTAAAACATCGACATTGTTTCTGTTCTTCATTTTTTAGATGATCATCCCAAATCTGGTTGTGTTGAAGGTGAGATGCTGCAATTATTTTTTTTAAATCTGTATTTGAGGATTCTGATGATTAATAATTGAAGATACATTTTCTTAGACATTTTACAATCTCCACAAATTTGATATTGAATGTACAACTTTTATATGATCATCCAAACTAGTTGGAAACGCAACAGTTTCTGGGTTGAGCCTGACTTTGGTCATGTTGAATTTAAGAAGAGCAGCTTTTGGTTGGATCGATCTGTTTGTTTCATCTTCATTATAACTGAATTAAACCATTTTATTCATGTTTGTGTTTGTTTCTCTTTTTGATGGGCGTCGTCAACAGAAGCTACTGCTGTAAAATCAGAAGGTAGGAAAATTACTGGAAGTTATAAAACCATCAGTCTGCATTAGAAATTCATAACTGACATGTAAAGGACAACAATCCTATCAGATCTCTCTCTATTTTAATAAGCTGATAAATAACGGTTAGCTGAATCCTGTATTCTGACTCCTCAGTTTTGGTTCAGTTTCTGTTCCAGCAGCTTCATCCTCCAGAGAAATGCCTCGCAGCGTCAAGCAGCTTCTGGCTGAAACCCTGGAGGACCTGAGCAAAGACAACCTGGACAAGTTCATCTTCCTGCTGGACCGCAGAGAGGAGCCGCGGGTCAGACGCTGCAGGGTGGAGGGCAAGAGCCGCCTGGAGGTCATGGATGTTCTGGTCTCCACCTTCACGGAGGACCAGGCTGTGGACGTCACCGTGGAGATCCTGAGGAGCATCAGCTGCAAGCAGCAGGCGGAGAGACTCAGTGAGTGAAACGAGCAGAGACAGAGACCAGAGACAGAGACCAGAGACAAGAGACAAGAGACAGAGACCAGAGACAAGAGACCAGAGACAAGAGACCAGAGACAGAGACCAGAGAAAAGAGACAGAGACAAGAGACAGAGACCAGAGACAAGAGACCAGAGACAGAGACCAGAGACAGAGACCAGAGACAAGAGACCAGAGACAGAGACCAGAGACAGAGACCAGACAGAGACCAGAGACAAGAGACAGAGACCAGAGACGAGAGACCAGAGACAGAGACCAGAGAAAAGAGACCAGAGACAAGAGACAGAGACCAGAGACAAGACCAGAGACAAGAGACAGAGACCAGAGACAAGAGACCAGAGACAAAGACCAGAGACAGACCAGAGACAAGAGACAGAGACCAGAGACAAGAGACCAGAGACAGAGACCAGAGACAAGAGACAGAGACCAGAGACAAGAGACCAGAGAAAAGAGACAGAGACAAGAGACAGAGACCAGAGACAGAGACCAGAGACAAGAGACCAGAGACAGAGACCAGAGACAGAGACCAGAGACAAGAGACAGAGACCAGAGACAAGAGACCAGAGACAGAGACCAGAGAAAGAGACCAGAGACAAGAGACAGAGACCAGAGACAAGAGACCAGAGACAAGAGACAGAGACCAGAGACAAGAGACCAGAGACAAAGACCAGAGACAGAGACCAGAGACAAGAGACAGAGACCAGAGACAAGAGACCAGAGACAAGAGACAGAGACCAGAGACAAGAGACCAGAGACAAAGACCAGAGACAGAGACCAGAGACAAGAGACAGAGACCAGAGACAAGAGACAAGAGACAAGAGACCAGAGAAAAGAGACAGAGACCAGAGACAGAGACCAGAGACAGAGACCAGAGACAAGAGACCAGAGACAGAGACCAGAGACAGAGACCAGAGACAAGAGACAGAGACAAGAGACCAGAGACAGAGACCAGAGACAAGAGACCAGAGACAAGAGACAGAGACAAGAGACCAGAGACCAGAGACAAGAGACAGAGACCAGAGACAAGAGACCAGAGACAAAGACCAGAGACCAGAGACAAGAGACAGAGACCAGAGACAAGAGACAAGAGACCAAAGACAAAGACCAGAGACCAGAGACCAGAGACCAGAGACAGAGACCAGACAAGAGACCAGAGAAAAGAGACAGAGACAAGAGACAGAGACCAGAGACAAGAGACCAGAGACAAGAGACAGAGACCAGAGACAAGAGACCAGAGACAGAGACCAGAGACAGAGACCAGAGACAAGAGACCAGAGACAAGAGACAGAGACCAGAGACAAGAGACCAGAGACCAGAGACAAAGACCAGAGACAGAGACCAGAGACAAGAGACAAGAGACAGAGACCAGAGACAAGAGACCAGAGACAAAGACCAGAGACAGAGACCAGAGACAAGAGACAGAGACCAGAGACAAGAGACCAGAGACAGAGACCAGAGACAAGAGACAGAGACAAGAGACAGA